AGGGATAGGCACTACAGCATCCTAGAGGCGAATGATTGCTGGGGTGCTGCAGCTGCCAAAACTTTGAAACAGGGTCATAAGTAGAATATGGGAGGTCCGGCATAAGTTGATAAGTGGCTATTCATAAGGCAAGGACTATCTATACATTTCTGCATAGTAATTCAATAACATTTCTAATTTTATATTTAAAAATCTGGTTAAAGCATGATTGTGAAAATGCAGTGCTAAGTGATTTGACATATGTTACCTGGAACTAAATTATAAAAGAAATTCCAGATTACTTACTAAAGACTTGGTCAAACAGAGCTCAATGGTATGTTGCTAGTGCAATGCAATAAGGCATCCATGCATTATGAAGATAGCACATTTATTATACTACTATCTTATAATGTTCAGTGAGAAAAACTGCATGGAGTTTCCCTAACATTTCAATTCAAGAAAAGAGGGTTGTCTTTTCTGATAAGTTCTGTGGAAGGAGGATGAATGAATATGGATTCTAGAACAGTGTTTCTCAATCTCAACAACTATAAAATGTATGGGTTACAACTCCCAGAATTCCCCAGCCAGTTGACTGGCCAAAAAATTTTTGGAGTTGAAGTCCATATGTCTTAAAGATATTAAGGTTGAGTAACAATGTTCTAGATTACAAAATACTATTAAGCAGGACTGTATCTTTCTGGAAAAATTCTTTAGAGAGCTCTGTTTAAAGAAAATAGCAGAAATATGATTTCTGGGGGGTAAACTTTTTAAAAAACTTTCTATATAGAACATGTTAAATGTTGGCCCATAAAAATGTGGTCAGAACTTATTTATTTTATCTCTTCAATTGCATCTTCACAGCTATTTAAAAGCAGTGTGAAATGAATATGTTTTTTACATGGCCTACTATATGTAATAAGGAATGCAATGTGGTTAGATTGTTTAACCAGTTTAAGCTTAATTGCAGGATAGACGTGCTTAAAATTCTCATTTATTTTTCCATTACCTTTTATTTTCATTATTTCCTTTATTTGCTGTGAAATTGTTTATGGATATGGCTAATCAGCTACTAAATAACCCTCTCATAAATAGCCTTTAAAAAATAACTACCAGTGTTATAAGTCAGTTGCAAATTCTTTATTAATAAAACTTTTTTCTTCCAATAGTTAAAGATGAAATTTGCCCGAGATGAATATGGCTTTTTTAAATAAGTATGTTTTATTCAAAGAGAAATTGCTATGTCCAACAAATGTTTCCAATTATCAGTTAATACATTCATCACTTAGGGAACGGATTTAATTGAAGATTCTATTCATTTTTTATTCCCTTTTGCTGCCCTTTTATCCAGCATCCAGAGAATAATTTTTCTATCCAGAATTCTAACAGGCAGAGACTGTTAGATTAGCGTGACAGCACTAATCATTTTTCAGAAGGGGGGTAGAGAACAAATTTACATCCTCTTACCAAGTATACTACCTGGAGTATCAGAATTAATAAGTATATCCATAAGATAGGTGCATCCAGTAGCTTGTAGATGGTTTGTATCCAATAAACTATACTGTATGCTGATTTTTCAATCGGTGATATTTTTCAATATCTAAACAGAATATTAAATTCAGTGTGAAAGTTTTTTCAGCAGGAGTCTCCAATCAAGGGACTGCCTGCTTACTAATAAATGATAATTGAGAATATATTTCATACTAATATCCCATAAGACTTAAGAGTATTTTGCAATAACCACATTTGTTATCTGCCTCTTAATTTCCAATTGTTAATATACCAGTTAAAAAAGGATAAGAATACCTTTCCAAACTAATCAGGGTTCCAGAACAAAAAAAATATATGACATAACTTCTATGTCATATGAAACAATCTTTTTTCTATACATACCATAACTAGCCGATCCTATCAGATTTCTTTGGGGGAAAAAACACATAAATGTCCAAAAATTCAAAATAATAAGATGGATTCAAAATCATTTTGCATGTATGTGTAGCATTTCTATAGATTTAAAACTGAATTAGTAACAATTTTAAAATCCATAGAACTGCTAATATAGATGCAAAATGATGTTGGGCACTTCACTCTCTTATTTCATGGCCCTCTGTACTTTTGAAGATGTAATTTAAGGGATGCCAACAGCAATTATAAATTAGTATTATATGCTCATTGAAGAGAGCAGCATGGTGACCTAGAGGTGGAGCTTTCACCTCACAATCAGGAGACTTGTGAGTTTGATCCTAGTAGCAGTTATTTCTCTCTCTGGGCACAAGGAGAAAATATCTGCTGTGAACTCTGTGTAGGGGTCAGGAAGGGCATCTGGCCAGTAAATGCTCAGCTCTATTCAATTGCCCCTACTCCACCCTGATTCAGAGGATTACAGGATCATTAAAAGAAAAAAAATATGTTCATTTAAGAATCTAGCATGCCACTAGACCCTAAAACATGGATCCATTTGGACACTCTAGATCAGTGGTTCTCAACCTGTGGGTCGGGACCCCATTTGGGGTCAAACGACCATTTCATGGGGGTCGCCAAACAACGCAGTCCGCCATTTTTTTCCCCTTTTCCTTAGCTGTGCTACTCCCTTTTATTCTATTGGCTTTTGAAAGCAAATAGAATAGACTCTCTTGAATAGAGTCTAATTCTATTGGCTTTCAAAAGCCAATAGGAATTGTCCAGGCTGTCTCTGCCCTGCTGAGCCCGCCAAAAGTCCCATTCTGCAAACGGTGCTGCACCAGTTGAGTAGTCCTCGACTTACGACCGGTTGAGTAGTCCTCGACTTACGACCGGTTGGGGGTCGCGGCATTAAAAAGGTTGAGAACCACTGCTCTAGATGCATTCACTTCTATTAATATACCTGTTATTTCTGCTTTTTTAGGACTTGTCAAAAATAGGGTTCATTTGTCATTCAACACCAACATACTAAGCTTTGATATACTGTAGTTATTCTGATCATTATATATTTTGTGAACACTACACTTGGGTTGTACCAACCCAGGTTTAGCATTTTGAATGAACTCAGCTTAATGTGATGTATTCATTTCCTACTTTTCATTCTACACATTTGATGCCACATACTGTAGCATGGATGTCCCTGATTTTATACTTATAATACTCCTCTAAAGGAGGCAGACTGTAAGAGGGCATCAAATGAATTTCTTGGCATTTATGCCTAGATTTCCAACCTTATTCAACATTTCACTGCATTACATTCAAAGCATCCCTTAGAACAGTGTTTTTCAGCTTTTGCAACTTTAAGGCTGTATGTTGCTTGGAAATTCTGAGAGTTGAAGTCCACACATGAATATTGCCAAGGTTGACAAACACTGTTTTGGATTAATGGAAGAAAAATTTCAGATCCCTAAAAAAAGGAAATCACCAGATTTAAAAAAAGACTCCTCTTTTGCAAAATTTTCATTATTCTCTATGATCATTGATCTATGAGTATACTGACTGGATTGTGAATGCTGTTCAAATTAGAGTTGATTTTTAAAAGAAAAAATATAGCATATAGAATAGGATATTGGGGTTTATTTTAAGCATAATAGAAAGAAAAAGGTTGAAATTTGAAACTCCCACCACAGAGTAGCACTTCAGTGAGAATCCCGGAAGGATTGAGTGAAAATTGCTAGAATTAAAAGTACTGTCATCCAAACATTTAATTGGAATCAATAACATCCCTCATTTAGAAGCAATGACTTCTGGGATGAAAAGAACCAAATGAACAATTTCAGTCCAATCTTTCTCCTTTCTCTTTGGATCACATACCTTAATCAGATCCATTGGATCTGCCAGAGGTTTTTTCCTTAAATAACAGTTAGTATTAATACAGTGCCTTGCTTTTGAGTTCAAAGCATGGATAATTCAATACATTATATATTGTCACTATTTTCTCACAGTTCCAAAGCCATGCAACTTTGAATCTGGTGCCCAGTTCTTCTTTGGGGGCATAAAATTTTAGATGACCATATGTCCTTAGGACTTCTATAGATTATTGTTGTGATAATACCTACTCCAAATCATTGCTGTTGATTTGTATTTTATTTAGCTCATGCTCTGACACTCTGATATCCCCAAATGGATTATAAAACAGGTTATTAAATCTCAGAATTTCTTGCAAACAGAATTAAACCCATGAAGAGACACAAAGCTAAAAACCATAGGCTAGATTTATCAGACTCTCAATAGTTCTGACTACCTTCAGCCTATCTCAATGTCTTGCCTGCTTTGCCACTCTGCCCTTGAAGATGAAGCTAGGTTGAAAACAGCCATGCTGGCTGAGAATTCTGGGATAGAATTCCTAACGGAAAGCACTATACTAGGGCTAAATCTTCTATAACAGAATGCAATAATAAGTAGTGTAACTCTCTGTTCATTAATTCATGCAAAATTCAACCTATTTTAAGTCACATTGAGTGATGTGAATGCTTAACTTTTTTTCACACTGGAACCTATGATATAAAACTCTCTGGATTTTTGCCTCCTATATAATTTTAGCAATAGATAGGATGTATATGTCTGGCTACAATAATATAAACTCGGCTGCTAGTACAAAAGCAGGCAATTCCAGTTTGATGGATTTTAACACACTCAATGTTGCTGGTAACAATAAGTCTCTTAACTGCTTCCGAAGAAATTGAAAAGCCCAGATTGCATCAGAGAAGATCATTTCACCTTTTCTTAACAAAATATATACACACACAAACACACACATTCAGATTTAACATAGAATGTGTGTGTGTGTGTGTGTGTGTGTGTTTTCAACTTGGATATTTGTTCTTAATTACCATACTGGAAAAACATGATCACACAGTTTTATTAGAGTGCTAAACCATCAAGATCTTTTTTAAAAATGCCCAAATTTGCTTTCTCTCTCTTTTTTTTTTTTACAGGGATCTTGTGGCATGTGAGTGAGAGGTTTATTTAGTCCATAGATAAAAGCTTTTTTAAAATCCTCATTTCTTCTAACATCTTAACAGCTATGCAGTTTCTTACAAGATATGTTTTATCGTTTCAAGAAATGCTGTTAACCTGGCAGTTTTAAAACTGAATGAACAAGGCCTCTTGGACAAATTGAAAAACAAATGGTGGTACGACAAAGGAGAGTGTGGCAGCGGGGGAGGTGACTCCAAGGTTAGCCTCAATGTCACCAAAGCGGGTAAACAGAACTGTTGAGTTGAGTAATTGGTGCGTCTGCTGAGGTTCCTCCTTCCAGCTCGCCAGACCCAACGGTGTCCTGTGGCACTTGCAAATCAATTGCCAACCAACATCCAGATGTATGCAATTACTGTCAAAGCAAAAATATTTGCATCCTAATCAGATTTTCTTTTTGACCAAGGCCAACTGGTTCGTCTTGAAGTACAAATTGGAGTTTTTCTTGCCATTTTGGTATTTTTTTTAAAAAAAAGTGAATCATTTGGGAATAATATCCATCTCCTAAGTAAATTTTCTGAACCTCTACCAGAAGATAGAAAAGTGCTGATAAATTATAATGTGGCATGGTTAAAACACAAATGAATGGCATGGTGGCCTAGAGGTGGAGTTCTCACCATAGATGGCCATGAGTTCAATCCTAGGGAGTGGCAGATATTTCTCTCTCTGGGCGCAAAGAGAAAATATCTGCTGTGAGCTCTGGGTAGGCATCAGGAAGGGTATCTGGCTAGTAAACACTCAGGTCCATTCAGTCACCCTGACTTCACCTTGATGCAAGGGATTACAGGGTTGTTAAATTTTTTAAAAAGCCCACAAATAACTAGTTTTACCATAAAGGGTTATAGGTTTAATCTCACCTCTAATTCCTTAAATGAAATAAATCCTTTTCATCATGTATCTTTCATCATATTTTTCCTGTCCTGGCATAATTCTTTGTTAGGACAGATTTGCACAATACTGACTTGAAAGTGGGCCTATTGTAGTTTCTTCAAAAGAACCTGAGAAAGATAATCCTACTTTACAATTCAGTTGTGTCAACAGAAGAGAATATCTGTAATTCAAGGTTGAACTGTGCAGTTCTTGATGGTCTCCGAGCTGATTGTTTGCTTGCAGACATTTCATTGCGCATCTAGTAAACACCATCAGTGTTAATGAGTGTGGGGTTTGTAGTCTGTTTAGATATAACACATCCCTGTCCCTTGGCAGGACAATCTACGATATATAAACAGGCAATAGATAGCCCTCTCTTCACAATGACAATTGGGATCAGGATTTCTATCACTAAATAACACAGTCATAAAGCATGACATAATGTGACTGCAATGGAATGCAATGGAAATTCCAACACTTTTTATTGCTGTCATTAAGAGGATCACTGCAGGATGTTAAGCAAGGATGTCATATGGTTGCCATTTGCTATTTTCTGCAAGTTTCCCCATTGACTTTGCTTGTAGGAAACTGTCAAAAAAAGTCACAAATGGCACCCACATGACACATGACATGGAGATGTTGTAATCACAAGCTGGACGCTGAGCACTCAGATCATGGGGATGTTATGATGCTGTAAGTACAAAGACCAGTTGTAAATACCACTCTTTCTACACCATTTTAAGTTTGAATAGTCAGTGAACAAGTAATTATTAAACAAGGACTACCTATAGAAACCCTGCATTCACTCACTCTGATGATGTTATCTAATTAGATAATGAAACTTCTGCAAGCAAACAAGCCCAGAGAACACCATAAACTCCACAATTCAAGTTATCCTCTGAATGCTATAGTCAACACATACTGAAAATTGTATAATTCAATTTATCAAGTCAAAGTGTTCTGTTGAGTACAAGAAAAAACAGTCAGAAATGTTAGTTATTAGCTGATACTTCCTTTTGTAATACATACTTCAGAAAATCTCATGAAGTCAATTACTTCAAAAATGGATAAGGCTAATCTGTAGTATGCCCTTATCATCCAGTTAACTTAATGGCTGGTGGGTTTACTTTTAGATGATTTGCTGTGTTCATATATCATCAGAGGTATCAGCAGCTGGCCACAATGATGCCAAAATGAGAAACTGTATGCTGTGATATAACAATGCAGGCTCCACTCTTTACATGTTTGCACAATGCAAGTATGGAAGGGATAAATTTTATATCACGCTAATCACCTGTTATCTGTCAAGGTTCCGATAGACAAGACCAAACAAATCAGAACTCCAAGGCTTGAGATTTCCTCAAAGAACATGTTTATTGGTTACATAGTATCGGCACGGTCAAAAGTGAAATCAAGTCTGAAATCCACTTCAAAGAAAGACAATATTACAAAGTTGAACTTCCCACCCCAATGCTATGCAATCAGCTACGTTCCCCAATAGAACAGTTTGGCGGGCTTTCTAACCAAATGCTCATGCCCCCCCATTTAATTGACAAAAATGACCTTGGTTCCCATGGGACAGTAAAATGTTTAGACTAGTAGAAATCCTCCACACCCCTTTCCATTCTTGTGGCAAACTAGAATGAGCAAAATAGCTCAAGCCAAGTTCATTGTAGAGTTGACATTATCTTTGTTCTGAGATTATGCGTAATATGTTGAACCAGGTCAGGTGAAAACAGATATACAATCTATGACATGCTAATCTTGGTTATTAATTTTGGTTAGGTTATGTGTGTGTGTGTGTGTGTGTGTGTGTGTTATGTTAGTATTTTTAAACTCAGACTAATTGATTCATTGAATGTTCGATGTATTATATAAACTCAGAATAAGTTGATTTGATTTCCAGTTTCTTTTAAAAATTAATTTCTGTCCCTTTAAACATTTTGAACATCTAAAATTGAAAAGTTATGATTCCCAACATGAATGTCACATGAAGACACTTCTTGGTATCTTCTCAACAGCTTTGTACATTTAGAATTCAGATATTCTTTATTGTACTGAATAACAGATCTTTAAATTATCTTATTACAGTTACTGATATTAGTGATCATTGAGTTCAGAAACAAATCATTACTCACTTTAAAATATTGTCCCTTGCTTAAGGCTATAAGCTGTTTAATTACTGAAATATCAAATTCTAAATAAGCTATTAGCTTAAGAAATTAAGATAGTAACATAGTTTGTCTGGAACAAACCATCCCCCATGTCCTAGCTTCTGCAAAACATAACAATTGAAGAAGATTGTTGTTATAAATACATACTGTGAGTCTAAGCACTTTTACTCTGTAGATCCCATGGAATTCAATAGAATGTATTTCTCATAAAGTCTGTTTTGGTTTGCAGCCTAAATTGTACAGCTGACAATTTATTGGTAGACTTCTTTTGAGGCTATCCATTTATATTAAAAATGAAGGAAAACAGGAAAGTTCTCAAACTATCTGGAGACTTTTTTGGGACGATCCATTAAGACATATTAAGGAGTATTTAAGCCAATAGTTTTGGGTTTACAGTAATTGCAGACCACTTATTTAAAACTTCACCCAGCAGGACGTGCCCATTACTTGAAGCGATGGAGCAGGTCCCATTGGTATATCTGTCTCTAACCCTAGGCCTTCACTGTACATGGTATAACAGCCACTGTGGCCTGTGCTCCATCACTTTGCCATGCGATTCTATGTAGTTTTGCTTGAATAACATAAAATAACATATATAATGTTATTTATGTTATTTCCCACGTGAAGAACTCCTGTAAACCTTGCCGTTTTGAAACTCAGTGAGGCAGGCGTCTTAGACAAGCTGAAAAACAAATGGTGGTACGATAAAGGTGAATGTGGACCGAAGGATTCTGGAAGTAAGGTCAGTTGCTGAAGTTCGGGACCTATTGTTGTGTTCACGAGGGAGTTATTGGTCACATAGGAATGGAAATAAATCAGCTGTTGAAGAACCATCATGTTGAAGATGTTAATTTTGTCTCAGCTCCAGTGAAACAAAGTTATATTCTCTTACAACTGCTGTAAAACCACTAATCCATATTTCAACTCCAATTACACATATCTGTAACAGCCACATTCATCAAGACTGCACACATGCATATATATATATATATATATATATATATATATATATATATATATATATATATATATATACACACACACACACACACACACACAAACAAACCCACACAGAGAGACAAAGCACATATCCAAAAGCTTTTTCCATCAATAATAAATCCTTTCAATTTTAATTTGCCCAAAGTGCCCTTCCATATTCTGGATTTGTAGATATAGAGTGCCTAGATTCAGAATAGTCCTGTTGAATGATTTGGAATATTTCTATGAGGTCTAAAGATATTCTTATTTTAATATGTGCCATTTTATCACTACATAGTACTGGAGTTCCTTTCTAACTCTATTATGGAGCGGACTCTTCCTCTCGAGCAGGGGTAGGCAACCTTGGCTATTTTATGACTCGTGGACTTCAACTCCCAGAATTCCTGAGCCAGCCATGCTGGCTCAGGAATTCTGGGAATTGAAGTCCATGAGTCATAAAAGAGCCAAGGCTGCCTACCCCTGCTCTAGAGTAACTGATAGCTCAGAAATTGATTCCCCATATTTCTTTTAAAAATTAAAGCCTGCCCTTATTTATTTTTTTGGTAACACTTGGAAATCTAAGATTATAAAGTTATGTATTCAACATGAACGCGACAATGTCATCTCATTGTCTACATGCTATCATCTCATCAATTTTGCATTCTATAATTCAGATAAGACTTACTGTATTTAATAATGTATCTTTACATTGTATTGTTATAATAACTGACTTTAAAGGTCATCAAGATCAGACCACTCACTCTCATTTTAAAATAGTAAAATATTGCTTGTTGCTTAAAACGAGATCTGCTAAGTTGCTTAATTAACAATACACCCTATAGTTTCAAGCTCAAAACAACTTGTTATCCAAAGAATTAAGGTAGACAATCACCTATTGAAAAAGCTATACTTTGCTATACCTGATATCAATACCAGCCATACCAAAATGAACAATGAATTGTAACAATACTAGTTCACAATATGAAAACAATATAGTGGCTAAAAATAAACCTTTAACGCTACACTAAAGCTAATACACCCATGTTTAGGCTCGAACCTGGTAGAATTGTGAAGCACCAAACAAAGAACATACTACACTTTTTAAAAAGCACAATCATGAAAAAAACATATTCTGAAGTTTCCCACTTTATACCAAGAAATGTTACTAACGTTTTGTGGCTTTCCCGACTTTCACATTTTACCAAATTGCAACTGTTTAAGTAAAATTTGAAAGAGAGTCCTGACAGCACAGTAGGAAATTAGAGAGTAGCAGTTGAAGAAAAAGATTCCTTGTGCCCAAAATAATAGCTTTGATAGAGAATGCATTTTGCTGAGTTTAGAAAACACACTGTAAGTAATATTCATTAAAACTGATACTTGACAAGTGTTTGGAAAAACTTTTCAGATGTTTTGTTTCCTATGACTTTAGTCATCTAATGAAAAGGAACAGCATATAGATCAATAAGCTCATTAGTGATTTTTTTTAAAAAAAGCTCATGTCTAAGCCACAATTAAACATTAAGCTAGATATGTTTGAAGGCTACTGCATTTAATTGCGTAAAACTATTTCAGAGTTACTCATACAGTAGCTCTGTTCCAAAATGTTGGTTAAGTATATGTCAACTTTTGCAACTTTTTCAAAATGTGTTTACATGTCTGTGTGTTTAAGGATGTACCAATACTTTTAAAGGTGTCTGTCAGTGGGTCTTACTTTGTTAAACTTTCCTATTTATTTAAATGAAGCTGTTCCTTAGATCCCCGCTCCTGTTTTTTGTAGAACGCTGTTTGTTTGTGCTTCCACTATTTGTTCCTGGAATGCTAACACTCCCCCTTCTGTTTCCCCAGGACAAGACAAGTGCCCTGAGTCTCAGCAACGTTGCTGGCGTCTTCTACATTCTGGTTGGCGGCCTGGGCTTGGCAATGCTGGTGGCTTTGATAGAATTCTGTTACAAATCCAGGGCCGAGGCGAAGAGAATGAAGGTGGCAAAGAGTGCACAGATTTTTAATCCAACTTCCTCGCAGAATACCCAGAATTTAGCAACTTATAGAGAAGGTTACAACGTATATGGAACCGAGAGTGTTAAAATTTAGGGGTAGGACTTAGGGCCCTACTACAGTGAGTGGGTGATGCATCATTTTGTCATGCAATGTTGTGACCTGTGTGTTCAGTGGTGATTCCTGCTTGCTTCTCAACAGAGCTTCCTCTTTTGAAAAAAACAAACGGTTTTGGCTGCAGATGTTTAGTCTATACTTATATGTTGCTAATAGACATCTGCATTGCAAGGATTTGTTAAATGCATCTATATATGTATATATGTATATGTATCTTTTGTGTGTGTGTGTATATATATATATATATAGATAGATCGAGAAGATACACAATTTATTTTCTTTTTATAAAAACAAGGAACATTTTCTGCTCTCAGATAGATTGGATTTTGTGGTGAGACTTTAGAGCTTTATAGAAAAAGGGAAAAGTTGAATAGAGGTACTAGAAATATTTCCTTGGATAAGGGGGTGGGCTTGCAACTTTTGTTCTAATTGCTGTTGGTTTTGTCTATGAAAGGCTCAGAATTAGAGGACTTGATTTGAGAAAATTAGTTTCTTCTGCTTTTTGCAGCTCCCTGTGGGATCTGTAGCATAGATCTGTTCTTCCCCATTTGACAGTCCTAGATATACTGACATAAGAAATCCCCACGTTTTCATCCATTAACAATTGCTGGCCAGCAATTCTAGAATTGTAATACCACCTGGAGGAAGCTAGAGTAAGAAAGCTCATTCCAAGAGTTGATGTAGATATTTAGGTTGAAATCCTATGCATACTTACTTTGGAATTAGTCCATCTAGTCCAGTGCTGTCCATAAATTTCAGACAGGCCTGTTTCTACCTACTTGGAGATGCAAGGACTAGGATTTTTTGCAAGTTACGCCCTTTCCCTTTTGGTGATGATAGCCTTTATTTCAGATGGCTTTAAAAGAGAATTACATATAGGATCACACATAATAGTAAGCCTGGATTTCTAGCCGTGGTTGTTTGAACAAACCTTAATTACCTCACTCACAACTAACATAAGCCATCATGGATGGATTCTCTTATGCTAAGCCCAAAATGAATCATATTCTGGATTGATGTGATGTTTGAATCCAGTCCATAGTCTATGGAACCTTCTGATCAGAAGCAGGGAACCTCTGATATTATTTCTAGGGGCCAAGCATAGCTTCTAGTTTGGCTACAGCAGGAATAGGTTGCTGGACTAGATGGACCATTGCCCTGAACTAGAAGAGCTTTATATTCTTATAAGGTTCTTATTTAAGATGACTTACTATTGAGTAAATTTGCATAGGATTTGACTGTTAGTTAAGTCTATTGCATTTATACCCTGCCTTTGCTCCGTAGAGCTCAAGCTGGCTGTGCTTCGTTGACCAGGAGCATCACCTGCAGTTCTGAATGCCACTGCAAATCTCCTCAGTACAGGTTAGGTGTAGACGACAAGCGAAGCTGCAGACTTCACTCATGGCAAAGAAGCATCAATTTATCTCTTCTCACTTGCTGGTCCCTTCCCACCCATACCCGCCTCCATTGTGGTTTCATGTCATTGATTCATTCTGGAAACCTGTGAGAATTGCAACATAAAATTATGGCCAAAATCCTTATCTGTCCCATTGAAATTAATAGAACTCACATCTCAGTAGACATGAATGTGACTGTATGTGCATTAATTCACCCTCTTAGGTTGGACAACTGTAGCCATATAAAGGGGGCAAGTGACAAAACATGCATCATTGTGACATTACCATGCAAGCATCACTCTTTGTATATGTATTTGCATGTGTACGTTCAGAAAGACAGAGGTTGCATTGCGACATTGTGATGTGTGTTTTGTCATTTTGGTGTTATTGTGGTTAAGAAAGGATGCATATGGATCGAGCCATGAATAGAAACAGCAGAATATTCTAGATGGCATAATAAAGTAAGATTCTTGGTTTTAGAAGCAATGTTTTACAAATTAGAGAAAGATCTTGCAGGCTTTCATTAGTGCTAAAAAAATACTTGTGCAACTTCTTTTTGCACAAATGCACAATCACCCTGAGAGTCTAGGATTGATTGTAAGGAAGCAGTGAGGCATCACATAATCAGCAAATGTGCTTCAGGATTGTTTATAGTAGTATTGAAAGGACATTCAGGCACAAAAACCCAGTTTCATGCTGCAGCTGTTTGAGCATCTCTAGCACCATCATTTCTACAGGTATTTTTTAATGCAATCCTTCAGATAACAACATGCCCACCTTAGTATCATTTTACTCTAACAATTGCAAGTTTGAATATCAATCAAAAAGAAAACATTTGCTATTCAGATACAGCCTCATAGGAAATTATTTCACATGGCTTGGGAAGCTATGCCCATTGAGTTGCATTGTGATTTGCATTTTCTAACTTCATGGCTTACCTCCAAGAGAAGCAACTTCTCCAGAGAGCTGAGCCTTCAAGCAGCTGTGTCAAAAGCAACTAATTTTAGATGCAGATTAAAACTGTCCAAATCACTGAAATTTTAATCAGCTTCAGTTATGATATTGGCAAGTTAATACATGCACAAGGCACAATCCTATCTGGTTATATCTTCCCCCGCCCCATGTATTCTATTTATGCCTTTCTCCTTGTGAAATAACGTGTGGGAGAGATGAGGAAGATCCAGTCACTCATTTATCATATGAAGATGTGTCTGGACCAAACATCTAATTTTAAATTATGGTTAAAATTACTCTTGAAGGCATTGAGATTTTTCACAGATTGCTAGCAAAGGAAGTCCAATCTGAAATGGGACTGAACTGTATTGGAATCACCTCCCTTACTTTCTCCAAGCCGATCTCATTGTTTAACTACCCTCAACTCAATCATCTTACCTTCTTCCACCACATTTGACTTGTTCCTTTTCTTCTCTGGGCTAGGCTTTGCACCCACAGTGATACCCGCTCATACATATGACATAAGAGTCCTGTAATTGTTGCTGCCACAATTAGTAGTATAGAAAAGCATATATTTGTTCCGATTTTCATAATTCCATCCAAACAATTTCTCATCCATTTTGCAATCTCTGTGCAATCCTGACATGTTGGATTCCAAAGTGGGGAAAACGATGCCTTGTTTTTATTGGACCATCACTCCATTATGCTATCTCTTCAAGAAAGCAAACATTTCCTGCAACCACAGCAGCCACAACATTTGCATGCCAGGCTAAGCATGGGATGTCTCCCCATTTGAATTCTGATGTGATTCCTCTCTAATTATTATCTCATGAAGGACTTGGGTATTTGTTCCTCTAGCGCTTCATTGTTTCATAATATTTTAAATCTTTCTATTTGCTAACCATTGTAGATTTTGGCTGGGATCTAAAGAGCTGCTTCCAATGCCTTCTTCAAACTGGCATCCTCTTGAGGTTTTGCACCACAATGCCCAGAATTTGCAGGGAGCCTTTGGAGAATGCCATGTTGGAGAAGACATGTTGAATTCAATGTTCATAATACTGATATACTGTTGCTTGTTTTCCTTTTCCAGTCTGCAGCCTCTCTAGCTGCCCACACTGATCTGAAAAAGCAAATAGGAGGAGTTCCCTCCTGATGTCTTTCTTTGGGAATAAGTAGCCACTCAGAGTTGCAGTAGTAAGATGGGCAATTATAGAAGTGGTCTAATAAAAATAATATATAAAGTAATATGATTAATGCAGTATGAAAAACCAGGAAAATTGCAGTTGGGTCTGCAAGAAAGCCACCTACCCTTTAGCCATCTTGTCTGTGGAGATTCTCAATCATCCAGACCATGGTTGTCCCAAAGGTGCTTTTCAAAAAAGCAACTGGACCTTCTTGGGTTTTTTCTTGAAAACATTCTGCTTCTTTTTCAAGAAAAAATCCAAGAAATTCCAGTTGTCTTTAGGAAAAGCACCTTTGGGACTTTAGCCATCTTGGAACCAAGCAAGGAATGGTATTCCCCACTCATGAAAATTTGTCCAATATTTTCCTGAGTTAAGAAAGAAAGAAAAAGAAAGAAAGAAAGAAAGAAAGAAAGAAAGAAAGAAAGAAAGAAAGAAAGAAAGAAAGAGAAAGAGAAAGAGGGGGGGGGGAACCGAAGCTCCTTTATTGTGGTTTTTTTCCTTTTCAAATTGAGAAGATTTTTTTTTAAGTACAAAATAATCAGCATTAGTTTATGTGCATTTTAAGAAGCATGGAGTTGCCACCAGGCATGAAAAACCTAGCATTATTTGCTTCCATCATTCTCTGAATGAAATGATTACAGGCTATAATGTTAGCCAGCTATCAGTGGTAGCCAGTCACTAAGGGGAAAATAGAATAAATGATAGCATTAGGACAAAAATGAATTGTATTGCCCATTATCAAGTCAGAACTGTAACTGAGCATACAGCTGCTGTTTTTCTGGTAGCCCTGTGGTTCCTATACTGTATAGCTTCATTCTAGACCCACTACTACAGTCTCAGCCAAAACCATTTTCCTAATTTATCAGTAGTTGATGCTTTGATTTCAAACCAAGAATGATGGAGACAATACCTATCAGGAAACAGGTAGTCCTTGAGTTACGACTGTAATAGTCACAGTCCTAACTAATGATGGCTATAAATGGGTCAGTTATGTGACCAACTCGATTTTATGACCTTATTTATAGCACTTGTTAAGCTAATCACCATGGTCATTAAGCAAATATGTGGTCATTAAGTTAATGCCATGGTTAACTGAACCAATAGTTTGCTATGGGTGAGATTTTGCTGAAAGGTGCAAGTAAATAACAATTTTCAGTAAAATCATTGTAAAATGTGAATGTATGACTGTGGGATGCTGCAAACAGCTGTGAATGCAGCCTAGTTG